AAAAGGTAAAACGGGGGGGGGGGGGAGAACCATCTTTTCCTCGTTTGCACAAACTAACAACGACAGGAACACGAGATGAAAGGCAGAAAGCAATAATGGGTGTCACTACCAACCTCTTAGACACCATTAATGAGGATAACAGAGGAGGCGATGACAATGTGACACCAACTGCCACAGCCAGGCGGAGTGATTCACCTCCCCCTCACGCAAGTATGACCTCACGCGAAAGGGGAGCTTTCACATCCACGGCTGAGGAGGCACCACCAGCAGTGAAGAAGTTATTGGAGGAGTGGCTGACAAGTACCCTCAATAACATACTCGACAAACCCGTTCAAAGGGCGAACAAAAATATCGCGCCAGCAGATATGATAACCACCACCGGCGAGCAACCAGCTCCCCCAACAGGTAACACTCACACCATTGTTGATGCAAGAAATGATGCACTAACACCTGTTGATACCCAATTTTTCACTCATATATTTTAAATATGCATATATATATATATATATATATATATATATATATATATATATATATATATATTGGTGTATATGCATTACTATTATATAAATATCCAATAATTATCCCCCATATATATTGGTGTATATGCATTACTATTATATAAATATCCAATAATTATCTCCCATATCATTTTTTATGATGATTTAATCCTCCAAATTTATCATTCATGCCCATATAATGCTTAAATATTTTAATTATATTTTTTATAATTACATTTGCATTTTTGAGGCTAGAATTGCACATTTTGCAATAATAGCCCATATATATGCATAATTATATTATTTATATAGAAAATGACTTTTTATATTTTTAGAATATAAAGTAATTATTTTAAATTATTTTCATGCACAAATGACATTTTTTTTATCATTTATTAATTATTTTTATAAATTATTTTATTAATTTAATTGGGTATTTAAAATCTAGCTTTTTTTTCTAATTAAATTCAGACCTAGCCTAACCCAATTGCCCCGGCCCAGTACACTAACCAACCCAATACCCCATACCCGTCCAACCCAGTACCCAAACCCGTTTATTATAACCCGGCCCAAAACCTTTGGATCAGGACCGTTGATCCCCGAAATCAGCGGTCCACATCACCTCACCCTTTTTAAGTTAACCTAACCCGTCTAAACCCTAATCACTTCACCTCACCCGCCGTCATTGAATCCTCTCATCTCCTCACCCTTCACCCTCTCAAACCCTAGCGTCGTCGCCCTTAACCCCTTTCGATTCTAGCCAGATATGGAATCAATCGGGGATTTTCTTACCTTATTGATCCTCTATCATTGTTGGTTATTCGTTTATGGCATAACATAATTGCTTGCCTAACATGGCAAGCCAATTTTCCATATTCTGGACCAAATCTGGTTCGAACCTTCAT